GTTGGGAAAAAACCAAATATTAAGGAATTCAAAGCTCATTCAAATATTTTAAGAGTTCGTTCACCATACTTCAACAGTGCTCTATCAAAAGATTGGGCTCATAAAAAAAATGATAAAATTATTTTTAATAAACCAAATATTGACCCTGTGGTTTTCTCTTTAATACTCAAGTAATTTTGATTTTATTATTATTAAATTTTTTCAAAACAAATTATTTCTAGTAACATTTATGCTTATTTAATACATATTATATTAATTATATACATATTATATATACAATAATATTTAGATATATTTATATGGGCAAGATTGATCTGAATAATGCAGTTGGATCAGATATTCTTGGAATTTTGGTGGCATCTGATGAATTATTATTAGATGAACTATATGAGTTTATTGAGGATCATCTAATTAAAAATCAATCAAATTGGATTAAAGAAAATTATGTTGAAGTTTTACACACCATCTATCTATTACCCAAATGTGTGAAATTGAAAGAATATTGTTTAAGTTCAATATGTGAATCTCCCAAATCATTTTTTGCTTCAACAAGCTTTCCAATTATAGAAAAAAATATTTTACATGATTTATTAATGCAGGATGATTTGAACATGGAAGAAACTGACATTTGGACTAGTTTAATTGAATGGGGTATTTATCAAACTAATTTAAACTCTGATGTTACAACATGGAGTGCAGATGATTTTGATAATTTGAAAAAGAATTTATCAAACTTTGTTAAATCAATTAGATTTTATCAAATTTCTTCAGCTGATTTTTTTCATAAAGTTAGACCTTATAAATCAATTATACCATTTGACCTATATGAAGATATTGTATCATATCATATGACATCCAGTATCCCAAAATATCCTAATTTGCTGTCTAGATTTAATTTTAAGATTGATTCTTCTTTGATAAAACCAGGGCAATTAAAAATAATTATCAATTGGATCAGAAATGAAAAAAACATCAATTCTACCTCACCTAAAAATAAATACACATTTACTCTTTTATACAAGGCATCACATGATGGTTTTCAAAATAATACATTTAATAATAAATGTGTAAGTCAAGGCTCTTGTCTTGTAGTTACAAAATGTAATGAAACAAACAAGATTATTGGTGGATATACCTCGGTTGGATTCAATTATAGTTATGGTTATTATAATGATTCTCAAAGTTTTTTATTTTCTTTTAATTTTAATGAAATCAAAAATCCAATTATTTGTCATGTACAAAATTATGATTGTGCTCTTTATAATAATAATTATAATGGCAATTATAATCGTGGCAATTATAATAATAGTATTTTTAATTTTGGATCTGGTAATTTAAGTATGAATAATAATTATATTAGTTGTAGTAATAATAATTATTACGAACAAGTCAATTTACTCAATAATAATATAAATAATTTTAATACAAGTGAAATTGAGGCATTCAAAGTGCAACTTAATAGCTAATTTCTAAAATGGAAAATTTATTGAGTCAGATAATTATTTTATATAAAATTTTCAATTAAAATAATTTTACTATTATTATTATTGTTATTATTATTATTATTATTATTATTAAAAAGATCTTTGTCAAGAATCAAAAATGTAATATTTTTAGTCATGATTTTAAAACATAATCATATTAAAAATGATTTTTGCCTATAATGTGATGCAAATTTTTGTGATAAAAATTATATTGGTAACATGCAGTAATGTTAATAAATATTTAATATGCCATGTTGGTAGAAACACTTCCTGGGAGCTCAAAACATCGGGAAAACTTATCTGTGTGATGTGTTATGACAGGCCGTTTTTTTTTTAATTGATAAAGATGTTTGATTCCCCATTATTATCTTAAGTATTAGTCACACGAAAAGTCAAAGTTGCATGTTTAGGGTTCTATTTTTAAAGTTTGCGCTAAATTCTAATGTATGTCACCTCAACCAAATATCATATTAATGCGAACCTTGCTTTTTGCGTTTTAAAAATTAAATTATGTGTATTAAAATGCAAAAAACAAAAAATTTGAAAGTATTTGACATAAATGTTCAGTTAATGGATATTTCAAATTCATAAGTATAGTTAGTTGATCTAAATAGTTTTTGGGAGGCCATTCGCTTCGGTTTGCACAATCAGAAATATTTTAGTTACCAATATTAATATACTAAGAACAAAATACCATTCTTTGTTTGAAGATTATTACCTTTCGAATGTTTGTTATATTTGTTAGTAAAATAGATGCAAATTACAACATCACAAATTACATAATAAATGAAATTAGACTGGTTTGGATACTTGACAATTTTTCGATTTTATTTTCGTGCAACTTTTTGTAAATCATTTTAAATTAGGTTGAACAATGCAGATTCCCAAGTGATTATAATCATTTGGTAACATGAAAGTATTTTTTATATTGATTACTTCCTAAAGGCATTGAAAGAGTAATAAGTTGTGATTACTAATAAAATTTATTTTATATGACAAAGTCCAAATAAAATCTAGTCTAGTCCAAACCAATTAATGTACAACTAAGCCACTTTTTTACTGCATCAATTGGGACTGGACTTACTAGTCCCAAACAGTCCAGTCTAAAAAAATGATTTTGAAAACATTGATATACATATTATATATATTAATATTTATGCAGGCAAGATGGATCAGATATTCTTAGTTTTGGTGGCATCCGATGAATTATTATTAGATTAATTGTATGAATTTATTGAGAATCATCTAATTAAAAATCAATCAAATTGGATTAAAGAAAATTGAGTTTTACACACCATCTATCTATTACTCAAATGTGTGAACACTATTTAAATATCTCTTATACCATTTGTATTTTACAAATATTATTTTATTTGGATTTCTTATTGACAGTTAAATAATTTTGGCATAATGTGATAAAAATTTTCCAATTCTGCCCCCTACTCTTTCAATGGCGTGGATTCTTACCTCTAGCACTTTTAAATAGATATTCACATATATTTTGCACAGTATATTAATATTACGTCTTTTTTTTTCGAAATCATAAAAGATCATAAAATTCATCCTTAAAAAAGATGTTAGCAGGGAAATTTGTGAAACTCTATTATTATTAAATATATAATTTATTCATTACTTTTGCTGCCTTTTAAATTTGACCAAGACATCACGCTTTTCAATCTTGTGTATCCTTGAATCACGGATTGGCCAGTTTTTCGAAATCTAAAATCCCAAGAAGGCACCCTGCTCATAACTACGTATACCAGACTAGGCGTGAACATATTTTCATCAATATTGACAGTTGCATGAAGCAATGTCAATCCGTGCACAGTAAGAGCGAAGGCATTCTGCAGAGGAAATTCTCGCCTTGATCCAGGACTTCCATTCAAGTGGTTTCCTTTTGCACGGTCACCTTTGTGTAAACTTTAAAAAAATCATTAACTCGATTTTTTGAAACTGGTTGGCTATCCCTCAATTACTTTTAAGGATAGTTGTGATATTCATTCTCCCCAAGAGCATATCGGGGTGTATAGCAATTGAAGTGAAAATCTTCACTTTCATTCTGATTGAGGATATTGTATATAGTTGATTGTGTCAGCTGCAGCTGAAATAAATGGGCCAAAGCTCTCTTCACTAATACTAATAGGTAAATTTTTCTAATAAGATAACGTAAAAGTGTAACATCTACTATTTAAAAAGAGTTAGCTCACTTAGTTACGCCACAGCAATTTCATTATTATTATTTTGGGTATGTTTGTAAGTGAAATTGAATTTATAATAAGTAAAAGTTACACGCCAATTTTTTAATAATAAATATTTTGGGGTGGGTATGAAATTCTGATTGGCCAATTTGAATTTCACGTATGTGGATTCACAAATTCATTTTCACGCACAAAATTTTTTTAGAAGTCATATCCACATGAAATTATGTAATTTTTTTTGACGTAAAAGTTAGTACTTTAATTTAGATTATTAATTATTCCCATTAATAAAAGCAAAAAAAATTTAGTTGTAAACAATTGATTGGTTCAAAAAGTTTTCAAATTCTGGTTCCAACTAAATTTCTTTCTTATGTTAACTAACAAATAAAACAATGTCTTTTTTTAATAATTTATCAGAAAAATTTGGCTCTTTACTAGATGATGCCTATGACCACAATGTGTTGATATCTGTTGGGAAAAAACCAAATGTTAAGGAATTCAAAGCTCATTCAAATATTTTAAGAGTTCGTTCACCATATTTCAACAGTGCTCTATCAAAAGATTGGGCTCATAAAAAAAATGATAAAATTATTTTTAATAAACCAAATATTGACCCTGTGGTTTTCTCTTTAATACTCAAGTAATTTTGATTTTATTATTATTAAATTTTTTCAAAACAAATTATTTCTAGTAACATTTATGCTTATTTAATACATATTATATTAATTATATACATATTATATATACAATAATATTTAGATATATTTATATGGGCAAGATTGATCTGAATAATGCAGTTGGATCAGATATTCTTGGAATTTTGGTGGCATCTGATGAATTATTATTAGATGAACTATATGAGTTTATTGAGGATCATCTAATTAAAAATCAATCAAATTGGATTAAAGAAAATTATGTTGAAGTTTTACACACCATCTATTTATTACCCAAATGTGTGAAATTGAAAGAATATTGTTTAAATTCAATATGTGAATCTCCCAAACCATTCTTTGCTTCAACAAGCTTTCCAACTATAGAAAAAAATATTTTACATGATTTGTTGATGTGGGATGATTTGAACATGGAAGAAATCAGCATTTGGACTAGTTTAATTGAATGGGGTATTTATCAAACTAATTTAAACTCTGATGTTACAACATGGAGTGCAGATGATTTTGATAATTTGAAAAAGAATTTATCAAACTTTGTTAAATCAATTAGATTTTATCAAATTTCTTCAGCTGATTTTTTTCATAAAGTTAGACCTTATAAATCAATTATACCATTTGATTTATATGAAGACATTGTATCATATCATATGACATCTAGTATTCCAAAATATCCTAATTTGCTGTCTAGATCTAATTTTAAGATTGATTCTTCTTTGATAAAACCAGAGCAATTAAAGATAATTATCAATTGGATCAGAAATGAAAAAAACATCAATTCTACTCCACCTAAAAATAAATACACATTTACTCTTTTATACAAGGCATCACGTGATGGTTTTCAAAATAATACATTTAATGATCAATGTGTAAGTCAAGGTTCTTGTCTTGTAGTTACAAAATGTAATGAAACAAACAAGATTATTGGTGGATATACTTCAGTTGGATTTATTTATCAGAATGACTTTTATGCTGATTCTCAAAGTTTTTTATTTTCTTTTAATTTTAATGAAGTCAAAAAGCCAATCATTTGTCGTATACAAAACTCCAGTTATGCTCTTTATAATGATTATAATGATGGTTATTTGTATAATCTTCATAATCATAATAATCGTAATTATCATTATAGTCATGATGGTTATAATAATAGTATTTTTAATTTTGGATGTGGTGATTTAATGATGGATAATAATATTATTAATTGTAATGGTGGCAATAATTATTACAAAAAGGTTAATTTACTCAATAATAATACAAATAATTTTAATGCAAGTGAAATTGAGGTATTCAAAGTGCAATTTAACAGCTAATTTCTAAAATGGAAAACTTATAAAATCAGATATAAAATTTTTCAATTAAAATAATTTTATTATTATTATTATTAAATTTTTAAAAGATCAATGTCAAAGAATCAAAAATACAATATTTTTAGTCATGACTTTATGACTAAAATTAGAATTAATATTAATTTTCACCTCCAAATAATTGCTTTTGCTTTTTCTTCATTAGATAATCCCAACTCTATTATTTTATATCAATGTTATTATTTACTTTTTATAATGTAAACCCTTGCATTTGTTAATTGCTTATTGCATGTCATTAAAAATGATTATTCTCCTAGAAACTTTGGCTATAATGTGATGCAAATTTTTGTATTTAATGATAAAATTATATTGATAATGTGCAGTATCAAATAATTAATATGCTATGTTTGTAGAGACACTTCCTGGGAGCTCAAAACATTTTCAAAATTGTAGTGTGATGAGTTATGACGGGCCATTTTTCTTTAATTGATAAAGATTTGATTCCCCGTTATTATCTTAGGTATTAGTCACACAAAAGTCAAAGTTGCATACAGTCAACCTCCCTAAGTGCACCCCCCTTGGGAATGAGTGGGAGCGTGCATTTAGGGAGGGTGTGCATTTAGGGAATTAAAGCATTT